TAAACCTTTTCAAATAGTTTAGGGGCATATTTGACCCTTCTCCCTTTTCTTTTATAACACTTTAACTTTAACTTTCCACGTGGTGTGCTTAAATTTAAGACCACAAGATTGAGTATTTTGGTACATTTGACATAACTTTAAATTAGAACCATAAGATAAAAAAATCTTCTTTTCTTTAACTCCATTCCAAATTAAACTAGGTTAATCTTTTTTAAACGAGGAAAGTAATATAGAGAAGCAAAACACAAAAAAAAGTGGGAGGCAGGAGCAGGTGAAGGTTTAAAGAGGGAGCTACCTGCTCCACTAGGCGTTAATATAATGAAAACAGTACATTGTGGTGAGTAGCAACAAGTTGAACTGGCTGGTGTAATGGTGACTTTAGTATCAAGTACCATTAACTTGTGAGTAGTTCATGTATTTATGAGGAAAGGGGCAAAAAAATCTACAAACATACAAAGTATGTGGCACACGTATAAGGTTGTGGGTCTAAATTCTAATTAGGTTTGGATAGAATTAAATAAAACTTGTTGATAAAGTAAAGTTTAAGACGCGCATTGGTTTTATGTGCCGCCGAAAGGTTTTCTACCATAGTTTTGTCTGCCATACTTGTTTCATAGTCCCCACAAAAAAATACTACATTTCATCAATTAATGTAACACCGCCTTTACTTTGTCCTTTTCTTTTTGGCACAAACCAATACTATCCCATGTACAACATAAACAGGCTCGTGAACAGCAAAAACAATTATAGTACTTATATGATAAGAAATAGATATCGGATCTAACAAATGGTAAGGAATCGTTTGGTTAGTATGTAAGTTATGACGAGGGAAAATATAATTAGATTATTTTTTATTGAGTTTTTTTTTTTTTTTATGCATTGCATTAATTTTAATGCAAGTCAATTATGGATTTTGTAATTTTTGCTGATCAGACTGTGCCACACCTCGTCTCACCATCCGATACATATAGATACACCCTATTAATGAACCCTCAAACCAAACTCACTTGTCCTTTGGAGAGTTGCGACTTGCTTAAAGTCAAGAATCAATCAGAGTAATAAACCACTTCTTTTTTTAAAATCTGCCTCAAGCACCCCAACACAGCAACCCTGCAGCCAAAAAGTCAACTGTATAAACTGTACAGTGAAGGAGCGCTCACATTTTTTTTTGCTTACTCTTTAGGGGTGGGGTAACTTATTTTGATGTTAATTATTAATCTCGAAATAAGCTATCTTGAACGTGCTAATCTAGCAATAAATTAATTGATACTGAAATTTAATCTCAAAATTATTTGGTGTTACTAATCACACAAAACGAATGCTAAAAGTCAACTGTAACCGATTGAGAATTGTTAAAGATCCTTCCAGACCTGGCGCAGATCCGACGCGAATCCATTTTATTATTGAACAAAAGAGGGATTGAAATTTTTTCAATTGGGTCAGTTTAAAGTCATTTAAAAAATTGATGACGAAACTATTTAAAGCCACAAATATATTTTTGAATTAAAAAAAATCAAAATTAAGATTTTTTAAAAAATGTTACGATTGTTTCTCAAAATAGTGTATGTATGCAATATTTGTTAGATGATTATGAAACGTACAAATTATTTTTTAAATAAAGTTATATCTGCTCTAAACACATAGTTATAAATTTATATTTTTTCCCATCCATCCAAGGCCCTTCAAACTTATCCCTTAGAGAATTTCACACCTATCACCTCTCTGTGCTTCACTAGATTACATATAAATATTTTCTAAATTATTATTTTTCTTTTTTTATCAAAATACACACAAAAAATATATTTATTTTTTATGAAGAATATTCTACCAAATACACCCTTCGTTTCGGCTGATTTTCCAAACCAAAAGTAGGTCTCGAAAGTCAAATAGCTTTATTTTGATTTTAGGCAAAATCATGTCTTTTATTCATTCCCTTTTTATTATTATTTTTTATAAAATGTCTCTTAATTTTTACCATTATATAATGTTTAGTTGCATTACTTTTTTGGTACAAAAATAAGAACAGTTAAATCAATTGGGGAGGAAACCAAGAAGATTAACATGAATATAGAACTAGCAAAATAATTTAATAGTATATATTACCATATCTCAAACAAATAAATGAATCAACAAATCATACAACACAAAAACATGTTTCTATACTCCATTATACATAATTTTTTTCTAAGGCTTAAATCAAAGTGGAGCATGTAAATGTAGCAGGATCATACAAAGCAGGAACCAAGTATTTTCTTCCACTTGTACCATGTGCATTGTAGCTTGCCCCTGTTGTTTTATCCACTAATAAATCTCCAGGATAGCCTGGGTAAGCGCCCTTCGCGTAGACACCAGGGCAAGCAGATGCAGCTTCTAATGGTGCATCTGCTTCGCCCTGGTAGTAACCGTTTCCAAATGGATTTGTAGCGGTTCCAGCTAATAAGCTAGCTAAGTTAATCACCATACCGTCAGCACCCACATCGTTGTTTGGTGCACCCAATGGTGGGGTCTGTGGTCCGTAGATGGGCTGGTGGAATGGCCAGGCGCAGTAGCCGGGACACAGAGTCTCTGAGTTACCCACCCAAATATAAGCAAATTTATAAGTTTTTCCCTTAATCACAGCACCCTTAGAAGCCCCATGAGTTCCACACCGATTGACACAGAACCCATCAACCGCAACATCAGAGGCGGTCAATACAACAATTAATGGCGTCTTTCTGTTCACCCTTTGATGCCAATTGCACGATTTGCTTCTGGGTTAGTGATTTTCCTAGAGAATAATTTTCGACGAGAACCTGTTTGCCCAAATTGAGCGAAAGGGTGTTGTTAGAATTAGCGAGATGGTAGTATTTTTCAGTGGTTTTCCACCATTGTGCTACGGATGGATTGGTTTTAGATGGATTTGAAGAAGAAAGGGAGTTGATGAAGTCAGATAGAATAGCTCTTTGGGATGGCTTGAATTTGCCATACCATATCAAATTGACAGATATTTTACCAGAAAGAAGTGCACCCTTGTGGTAGTGCAAGAGCTGAGTTTGTTCTACTAATGCAGTTAGCTTTCTTGAAGCAAAACACCACATTGAAGAAAGAAATCAATAGAAAAAGTGATAAAATGACACCTGAAGAAGACATTTTAGCCTGTTTTGGGATTTAATTTGGATAGAATGTAGGAAAAGAGAAGCCGAATATATAAGAGAGAAAAGGTGTTACTATTGGGAAGGTGCTTAGAAAAGAAATTGATAATAAGTTCAACTAAAAACGCGTTGGCATTTTAATTGTTATAATTGGGCAAAACAGAGCAATGTACATATACCAACTTGTCTTTTCTAAAAACAAAAGCTATATCTCCCTCCCCCATCTAAACCTATTACAGGATTGCAACCTAATTTTTGCCTCCTCATACATGCTCTGTCAAGTTAGTATTGGCTTACGCCTCTTTACTCAGAGCGTCATATCCATATCTATTAATGCATAATGGAGTACATAGCTGCCACTTTATACAGATCCACTCCAAATTCATCAAAATTTCTGTTGTAAATGGAAAAAAACAGCAGTATTTGATGAACTACAATTGCAAAAAAAGACATGTTCGAGTGTTAAATAATTTGGGGAGTACATGAAATATTGCTCCTTACTATTCCCTCTATCTCTATTTGTGCAGCAATTTTCTAGACTTTCTAATTTCGACCTTGACATTGGACATACATGAGATCTTTATAAGATTTGAGTAAAATTTGAAATTTATCGAAAAAGTATCTCAAGTCACAATGATTAGCACTTCAAAAATATTTCTAAAACATGGTCAAAGAATGTTTCATTTTACTTTCAAAATTTGAACGTTAGATACTTATAAATTGGGACAAAGAGCTTTATTTATTTTGAAGTTCATTTCAGTATTTTTTTTTTCTTCTTCATATTGTCAGGACACGCCACTTCTCCATTAGAATCACAGAGCTTTAGTGAAATTCTAAATCCGTAACTCTTGGTTCTTTTTGTATACAAACTACACATGTAATTTCTAAAAATAAATTACATCCTATCAGCACCAGGTTAATTCAGTGTAAGGGGTTCTTTTTTTTTATTATTATTATGCTGAATAGTAAAAGAATTATTATTAGTATTTAAATACAACACAACATTCCTCCCAGCTTGTTTATCATTGAGCATTATTGATATTCATAATGGTTGTCAACTGGCCATGACATCCAAGCCCTACCAAAGAACAAAACAAAACAAGTTAGATATGCCTGATTTCTAGTTATATCAACCCTCTTGTCTTATGCAATTTGTGTTGATCCATTTATTAAATAAAAGTTGGAGACATGCCAGCTATCTATTTTGTTCTTCTGCCTAGTCGAAACAGGAAAAAGAGCCACTAAATTATTGGCTTCTCAATTAGTCTAACATATAATTGGTGAGCTAACAATTTGCTTAGCCTCAACTAACCCTTCCCTAATTGATCTGAATTCCCACGATAGTCGTCAAACTGTAGAGGCAAAATTTGCACAATGATGGATTATGGAACAAGGCCTATACACGGAACGTAAGTGAGAACAATATTGAAATGACAGATGATGCAAAGTAAGAATTGTTATTCATGTCTCGTCCAACACCACGTAAAATAAGATATTGTTCGATGAAAATAGGCCTTAGCCAAGCATGACTTACAAATGTATGAACGGCAGAAGCACAAGTTATACTCATCAAACGGAGGCTAACATATGGGAGATATAATGCTTATTATAAAGTTAACTTGTATTAGGTGTTAATAAAAAATTTTACTATCATCTTTCATTCCGATTTAAGAATAAACTATTCATTATGGTTATAAAGCTAAGGCCTTAGGAGAGGTCTGAAGATTATTGATGATAGCAAAGAGTTACTCTCCTTGTTTGCCTTGGTATTTTGTTCAAATTGTAGAAAAACATATTATCACGACTTTAGAGAATGCATATCTTGATATATTCTGTGAGCAAGTTAAAATGCATACGCGATTAGCAAAGTTGATAAAAGAAAAGTAAGTTTCTCATATATTATCGAATGAACGAATCAATAAATCATATATTACAAAGCTATGTTCGATTATAGTATATCCTATTTTGTAAATACTGCTTCTCTCTAGACTAGAGTTGAACATGAAGATGTAGCAGGATCATATAGAGCAGGAACCAAGTATTTCCTTCCGTTTGTACCATGTGCATTGTAGCTTGCCCCTGTTGTTTTGTCCACCAATAAATCTCCGGGATAGCCTGGGTATGCGCCCTTAGCGTACACACCAGGGCAAGCAGATGCAGCTTCCAATGGCGCATCTGCTTCACCCTGGTAGTATCCATTTCCAAATGGGTTTGTGGCAGTTCCAGCTAATAAGCTAGCTAGGTTAATCACCATACCGTCAACACCCACATCGTTGTTTGGTGCACCCAATGGTGGGGTCTGTGGTCCATAGATGGGCTGGTGGAATGGCCAGGCACAGTATCCAGGGCACAGAGTTTCTGAGTTACCCACCCAAATATAAGTAAATTTGTGAGTTTTGCCTTCAATAATAGCACCCTTAGAAGCTCCATGAGTTCCACACCGATTGACACAGAACCCATCAACGGCGACATCTGAGGCGGTCAATACAACATTAATGGCGTCTCTCTGTTCACCCTTTGATGCCAATTGCACGATTTGCTTCTGGGTTAGTGCTTTTCCTAGAGAATAATTTTCGATGAGAACCTGTTTGCCCAAATTAAGGGAAAGGGTGTTGTTAGAATTAGCGAGATGGTAGTATTTTTCGGTGGTTTTCCACCATTGTGCTACTGATGGATTGGTTTTAGATGGATTTGAAGAAGAAAGGGAGTTGATGAAATCGGATACAATAGCTCTTTGGGATGGCTTGAATTTACCATACCAAATCAGATTAACAGAGACTTTTCCAGAAAGAAGTGCACCCTTGTGGTACTTCAAAAGCTGCATTTGTGAGTCTTGTACTAAAGCAGTGAGCTTTCTGGAAGCAAAGCACACATTAAAGAAGGAAATAACAAGAAAAAGTTTCAAAATGAAATGGGTCAAATTGGAAGACATATTTTATATTTATTTGTAAAGAGAAGCTCTAAGTAATTAATGGAAATTTGAGTGTGCAAGTAGTTTGGGTGTTGGAGAAGAGAGGCAGATTATATATAGCGCAATGGAATGAGTGCGTTTTGCTTGTTACGAAGGTGCGAAGAAGGGAGAAAAGTTGACTTTAAAATAAAACGCGTTTGGCATTAACTTGTAATAGCTGTGGAACATAAGGAAGGAAGATCAATAACTTTAGTGCCAACTAAATGCGGTTTCTATGAGCATAAATATTTGTAATTTTTTTCCTTTCACGTCTTTCTTCAAGGTCCACACCTAATTTGTGCTTAAAGCACCAACAAACCTTAGTTTTTTTTTGCATTTTTTTCCTTTGATAAGACTGGCTCCGTCGACTTCCAACTATGTAACCATGGATCTCCAATAATAACATGCAAGATACGAACAAAATACAGAGAGTGCTAAAATAGTGCTCGTTCAAATGGACATGATAAACACATCTCAAGATGTTACATTTGGTACAATGGCCACATACGTATTATTGACTTCATTACTGTTGCTTTTGAAAGTCGAAATATTTTTATTAGGAAGAAATGTGCAAAACAGAGCAATGTAAATATACTAACCCACATCCACAACATAACCTATTACCAACTACTTTATCCATCACCTATTTTAGGTAATACATTTTTTTCATTGTTACAGATAGTTAAGAGTAGTTATAAAATATTAAAATTTAAATTTTGATTAGGTAAAATCGATAAATCGAACTATTCACTATGTTAGTTGGTAATACTGTATTGAACTTGTAGTCGATTATGTCGCTAAGTCATGTTATTGCATTTATATTTTTCTACGTGGAGACACAGTATAATAAAACATCAACAAGTAAAAAGACATAAATAAAAAAGTAAATTAACTCAACTATAAAAACATATGTATTTGGGTCATTTATGTTTAGTATTTAGCTTTCTCTTAAAATTTGCACCAATGAGTTATGAACTAGTTTATATATGCCCTTCATTGAGTAACTAATTTGGTTTTCGTGGAGATACCTAATACCAAATAATTCTAATATCTCATACCCAATTCAAACCTAAATAATATAATTCTAAAATTTTACTCTCGAATACCATACTAAATATCGAATTGCCAAAAATTTAGATTCAATTAGTAATATGTATCCAACCCTACATAATTTGTCAAATGGTGGTGAATTCGATGTTACATACATGTAGATTATGACTTTCTAATACCTGCCCTGTCTAGTTAATACTCCTCAATCCTCATACCTGCCTTGTGAGTGAAGTAATTAATAAATACTAGGTACGTACTAAAGTCACCATTATATTAAAGATTCAGGCCCTCACCACTTAAATTATGCACCTCTACTCAAAGCGTCGTTTCCATTATAGTTACTAACGCGGGGACTCTACGCGTGAGGGATAAAGATAAATAGTTCTGAATAACAAGTTGACGTCTTGTTTGGTTGTCAAGTTTGAAATTTGGAATAGTTTATCTCACAATTTATATTATAGTGGTGAATTAGTTATTTCAAATACAAACTCGGTTAAGTTATCGGAGGATAATTAATTAAGTGATAACTTTGTTTACATAGATTCCCTCCAAGTCTTGAGGCATTTGGACGATATTTCAGTTGATGTGGGAAAAAAAACTCCATTTGTCCAACAATAGTTGTTCACTATATTTTTTTTAGTATGTCCTACAATACTTATTCACTTTATGAAATTAATGAATAATTTTACTTAGTTTCTAATTTATCCTAATAATTTATTATACTCATTTTTCTATAACATTTTTCAAGACGTTATATTTATTACTTCTTTCGTCCCATAACAGTCGCCCACTATTAACTTGACACACCCCTTAAGAAACTATAAATATAAGGGTAATTTTAACTATATCACCTTTTGAATATAATAAATACAATATCTTCAAAATGTAATATGAAAATTATTATAATTAATGATACGAGTAAATTAGAAACTAAGTAAAAAATTAATTATGAATTTCGTAAAGTAGACAAGTATTGTTGGACGAACTAAATATATTCAAAAAGTAATACACTGAAATTATTTTTTATATTTATAGTTTCTTAAAATATGTGCGAAGTGAACAAGTTTTAAAATTGTGAGGAAAAATAAGAAATGCACATTTCGCTATATATTTTCATGTGCATTTTTATCTAATAAATTTTCATGTCCCTGTAATGGTTGTCACCTCGTAATGTATATACTTCTTCATCTGCCTACTAAATCATGGACATTCTTCCAAGTCCTATACAGTGTATAAAATGTAAAGCTAATAATTTTCTCAGGTGCGCAACTAATAAGCCTTGGCCTTATTGAACATCACTAATTAATTAAGCTGAATTCCCAAAATATTGTTGAGTTGCATTACCTGTCTTTGTCTAAGGATTCCTAAATCAATTGAGCAAGGAAAACAAAATGACAAGGTAATATAGACATAGCAAAATAATTTTATGGTATATTATTATATCTGAAACAAATGAATGAATCAACAAATTGTATCTTACAACTCTATGCTCAACTATATTATAAGTATCCTATTATGTAAATATTACTTGTCTCTCTAGACCAAAGTGGAGCATGAAGATGTAGCAGGATCATACAAAGCAGGAACCAAGTATTTCCTTCCGTTTGTACCATGTGCATTGTAGCTTGCACCTGTTGTTTTATCAACCAATAAATCTCCAGCATAGCCTGGGTAAGCGCCCTTCGCGTAGACACCGGGGCAAGCAGATGCAGCTTCCAATGGCGCATCTGCTTCACCCTGGTAGTAACCGTTTCCAAATGGGTTTGTTGCGGTTCCAGCTAATAAGCTAGCTAAGTTAATCACCATACCGTCAACACCCACATCGTTGTTCGGTGCAACCAATGGTGGGCTTTGTGGTCCGTAGATGGGCTGGTGGAATGGCCAGGCGCAGTAGCCAGGACACAGAGTCTCTGAGTTACCCACCCAAATATAAGCAAATTTGTAAGTTTTGCCCTTAATAACAGCACCTTTAGAAGATCCATGAGTTCCACACCGATTGACACAGAACCCATCAACCGCAACATCAGAGGCGGTCAATACAACATTAATGGCGTCTCTCTGTTCACCCTTTGATGCCAATTGCACGATTTGCTTTTGGGTCAGTGATTTTCCTAGGGAATAATTTTCAATGAGAACTTGTTTGCCCAAATTAAGAGAAAGGGTGTTTTTAGAATTAGCGAGATGGTAGTATTTTTCAGTGGTTTGCCACCATTGTGCGACAGAAGGATTGGTTTTAGATGGAGTTGAAGAAGAAAGAGAGGTGATGAAATCAGATACAATAGCTCTTTGAGATGGCTTGAATTTACCATACCAAATCAGATTAACAGAGATTTTGCCTGATAGAAGTGCACCTTTGTGGTACTCCAAGAGCTGCATTTGTGGTTCTTGCACTAAAGCACTAAGCTTTCTTGAAGCAAAACACACATTGATGAAAGAAATCAACACAAAAAGCGATAAAATGAAATGGGAAGAAGAAGACATTTTTCTTTTTCTCTTCTTAAAAACCAAGTTGAAACTTTGATTGAAGTTTAGAGTAGTTTGGATGGAATTTAGGAGAAGAGAAGGGAGAATATATATACTAAATAGTTAGTACTGCAATTGAGAGAGAGAAAAAGTAAACCGCGTTGATTAACTGGAGCTAGCTGCACAACTTAACAAAACTTTACTCCCATTTAAGTTATAGCGGTTACTACTTCCGCGGCTCAACAGTTCACAATGGACTTCACTGTTACAACTTACAGTTTACTTCATACATTAGTGCACCTGTACCAGTCTCCATATATATTCTTTTGATTTGATATTGAAATTAAAAGACGAAATACTTCTGAATTTTATAATTTTAAATTTAGATGAACCCATTGCTCCGCCGTAATTGTTGAGGGATGAGCTAACAAGTATAACATGCAAACTTTGGATCCACCAAGCTGTAACTATAAACAATAATGATAATCAATTGACACCTATTTTCGTGTTCTAGATTGTTCCCTCCTCATACCTGCCCTGTCAAGTTATTACTGTTACAAGTCAAAACTTAAATTCTACGCTTAACGCGTTATGGAATAGCTAAACTTTCACTCCAAAGTCTTTAGTTATTTGGACTATATTTCTGTTGAAATTGACAAAAGAAGTATACCGAGTTTTCTTTTTTATTACCGTTTGATATCTATATTAAAGTTTGATTAATTTAAATTCGTATCACATAGAATTTCATTCGAGGGAAGTTCAACCTAATTCACTACATTACATCTATTGATGATAACTGGTAAGTATTTGAAGTTCTATTTTCCTTACCCAATGGCAAAATAATTATTGTATAGTACAATTATCTAAATAATTGGATGACTCTTCAATTATTTGCATTTATTAAAACACAACAATATTCCTTCCCATTTTTCATAATAATTGTGCATTATCTAAAAACCATCAATCTAATAATAGTTGTCATGACAATTGACATCCAAGCACTACAAAGAAAAAGAAAATGACAGAATTTAGTTGGACAAAAAAACCAGAGAGGCCAAAGGGACACATATACTTGCTTGATTTCTAAAACATTGATCCTCACAGAGAAGTTTGGAAGAATGCCAGAGATGTATTTGTTCTTTTGCCTGCTCGAAACTGGAAACATAGCCCACTACAAATTATTGGCTTCTCTAACTGTATATATCGTAATATTTTCACATACAACACTCTTAACAGAATTTACTACGTATCCAAGACTCGAACCTGAAATCTCTGGTTAAGTTCATAATTTGCTTAATTCTTTTCTCAAAGAACTCAACAGTTGAAGGAAACGGTTTTTAGTTTCCCCTAGGTATTTCAAATTGGTGGTTAGTTTATTCCATTTGTTTATTAGCAAATTGAATATTAGGACTTCAAGTAAGTAACGTGCCGGAACATGTAGTATAAGATTACTAAATGAATTTAATTACTTATATATATTTTTTTAACTAGTGAAATTATTCGCACTTCGCGCGATTATATGAAATATTTATAAGATAATAATATGAAATATATAATATTTAGGTTAG